TTTATCACACTTTAAGAGGTCAAAGTAAATTCTCATTCTGTTAAGAATTAGTTGTGCCATTAGCTACCAGTAACCATATCTGACAGCTGTAAATTGATAAACATTTGTTGCAAAAATCTTGGAGAAATGTTTTAACTATAACAACTGTAGCATGTTGCTAAATCATATTGCTAATCTAATTTACTAAAAATCGCGAAACATTTATTTTAAACCTTCTTAGAAATACTAATCACATTTATCTTGAAATTATAAAATGATTTTAGATCGTCAATCTTCCATTAAAAAAAACGAAAGTAGTCACAACTTATGATATTTCCCGCGATCTGATGTTGTTGTTTCAACAAAATTAATCTAATATTTAGAGTGCTTAAATGTCCTTCAGAAACCTGCTTCCAGCATTCTGGTAAAAAAAGCACCAGCCACCATCTTGTATACATAAATCTTTAAGTACTCAATACTTCTAGTGATACAGAAGTGCCGAATTGTTCACAAATCTTCAAACATTCTTCATATAAACATTAACGACCAACTGATACAAAAAATGGTATGACACATACACATAAGAAGACATTTGTGATATGCGATCTTTGTAATAATACAGGAAGTACTCAGAAACAGTATAAAATGCTTATCATGTTAATCTTCATCAACGCCTTGTAGCATCTTTACACAAAGTGCAATCCAACTTAAACAAATTATCATGGTTGTTTGATTGCTGCATTAACAGATAGCGACAACATGTTAGAAATATATTTCCCACAAAAAACTCTTTCAGATGAGTTAACATTTCGTTTGTAGTATCATCAAAGCACATCCGAATATATTGAATACACATAACAAATAAACTACGCTAATGCTACAAACAGATCTGAAATGTGTGTGAAGTATTAGTTAGAACGGTAATAGCTGTAACTATCTTCTCCAATGTTTGTCATTTATGCCAATTTGTAATAGCCATCACCAAAAATATGGTCACTGAAAGCATAGAATATACAAACAATGTACATTATATCATTTGCAAGTGGGAAAAGTTAACCATGGAGCTATGTTCAGGTCTTACGGTACAAATTAACAACTTACCAGGGACCCTGGCTAAATGTTAAATGTTTTCACTGAGTTTCCAACAATTTTAACAAAATGGCATCTACTTGACCCTTAGTTTTTCACATCGCATTTGTATGTGCTTTGTATAGGGTCACTTTGCCCATGTAATTGTGTCTAAAACAGTATTTTGGTAAGAAATTATTATCTTCATATGGTTATAATTAAACAACAAAAACATGTTCAAAATCCCAGCCATTACTGTTTTTATTGTGGCGAAAAACTATAACCATGCTCATGGTAGCCAATTAAACTATACGTGCACTGTACAATACGGCTCTTCTTACTCTGCTTGCAGCTTTAATTATATATGTGAAAATATAATATTACCTCAAGTGGTTCAGCTACTTTGTTTATTTCAGACATATCTTCATTTGTGAGCTTCTTTACTGTTTCTTTTGTGATAGTCTGTTTTGAGATAATGTGACATTTTACATTTTTAATATGAAATGGGATAATTTCGGTCTTGCACGTTAAATGAATAATTGAGCCTCGTAAATTACGCATGCCGTTAATCCTAGATCACACTCGTATGTATATGAGATTATTACGACGATACCTGAAAGTATGCACGAAGACAGTACAGCGAGGTGTCTTTGTGTGAAGTCTGGTCAAACCCTGGTGGCAGCCATGTTTGTTTTTATTATTAGAGGACGCTTACGCGCATAATCATTCTATATTTCCTAATATAGTAGGATGAAAATACCCCGTAAAATATCGCAAAATTACGGCATGCTGTAGCTTACGGTGACAGATGTATAATACTATTAAATATGTATATGCTTGAATATTGAAAATCGGAAGTAATGAGTTGTGACCTTACAGTGTCAATGTATTCCAATCCCACTAATTCATCGATTTTGGTAATAGCGTTTTTGATAACATCCTGGCTATCAGCATATATGTGTAGAATAATAGTATCAATCATCTTGACTCTGGCAGAGTTATCAGAACCTCCAAAAATATATTTTAATACTCCTGCGTTACAAGTAGAACAGTGGATAGGTAACAAATATTATAATTAACATCCGAATATATTTTACAGGCAATGTCTTCGAACGGTACAACATAGTTTAGTTTGTTGGTAAAACAAAAAAACCTTGTCATTTTTTCCAGTAAAAATAGTTAAATAACCTTGACACACTTGAACAAGTATTGTATATTATACTTCTAATTCGTTGCTTGGCCAATGTTATAATTACCGATGAGCGTCATTTTCGTCTATTTTTTATTTGACTTTACCTTGAATTTTGTTGGGACACAAATAGGCATTAATATATAATTTTATATTTGACCTTCAATTGACATGGCTCAAATTATGGATGAATCACTTTGTAAGTCGCCTTTTTAATTGAAGAAATCGAATATCAAATTTTGGAGAAATATATTATATGACTTGGCAATAATAGGTTATAGTTAGTGACTTATGAACGTTACTTGACCTTTATATTTTAGTGAATTATTGTCTATCAAAATAAATTTAAGAGAAGGATTTTAAAATTTGATACAATTTTGTTCACATTCTGAGAGGAGGAAGACTAAGTAGTTTAAAAAAGACACTTACCCCGTGCTCTACCAAGTATCCCTCTAGTATGCTTCATAGGGGTACCAATCATACTCTTCATTTCATCGTTGAATATTGCAACCAGAGGTGACTGAAATATCGTGATCCGAATGACTTCCAGGAATCGCGGATTGCATTGCTGTACAAACTCACTAATGGCATTCAAGATATCATGAGCAACGTTTTTGGGAGCAAGCTCAAGAATTCCTGTCACAAAAAAAGTGATGAATGATAAAATATTGAGTTGAAAACAAAAATCTAGCTGTTCTACAAAGCACGGGCAGTGCATACAATATTAGAGCGTTCGTCATCCTTACCTGCTCCAACTGCAGGTATGGCAATCGATTTCAGTTTGTGTATCTCAGCAAATTTTAACATCTTAATAACACTATCTTCTAATTTTGTGTATGGTGATATCATATGAAGTATCTTATTACATTTCAAATATCCAGCACCAGTCATGACGACAGTATCGGCCGGCTGTCGACCTATAGTATAAAAGAAATTACAGACCCATAATGAATTATTTTAGAAGCAATAACTTAAAAAAAAAACAATATTAAAAAGTTAAAGTTATTAACAGTACCTAGATTCTGACATTCTGTCACAATGGATTGTCCTCCTTTTTTCAAAATAGCTTGAGATACTGCACCTGCAAATTGATTAGAATAATAATAATGACTAGAATGACTTTTAGCTGAACTGGTCCATGCTTAGCCTTTGAAATGCATATTGCCCCAGTAAAACCAATGATATTAACCTAAAACATATGAGAAATAAATGTTGGTGACCCAATTTATACTGCTATTATAGTTACTGTGATGATACATACCAAGTTTGAGGTCAAGGTCGCGATTGCTGCTGTTAACTATAGCTTCAGTGGTTTCATTTGTTATATCTCCTTCCTGTAACTGCACCAATATTTTACCAATCACCATCTGACAGTCACCATTATTCCTAGATTTCTCCTTAAATTGCATGAATACGGACTTCTCTGTGAACAATTATATAATAAATATAGTTGCAAGGCAGTAAGCTGGGCAAAGCTATAGCCCCATGGTTACAGTTGTCATCGGTACATATTACGAGCAAATGATATACTCGATTATGGCTTCATTTTTTATGAATTATTTATGAATTATGAGTGAGATATAATATGATCGAAAAATACGAAATTTGTTTTCTCTCACCAGCTATGGGTGTCTTTGCGAATTCATAATAATCCACATGCAAAAATAAGTTGCAGAATACAAAAACATACTCCAAACATACAAACAAGGTTGAGGCCAATTTTGTAATACTACAATTAAAACAAACAAACAAACAAACCAACCTTGATTGTAACCCGAGGCGCCTTGTAATCTTTGATGCCCAGAATGAATGAATCCTTCTTTTTTCTTGTGCTGTTTCATCGGACTAAAGCTACCACCTCCATAACTATTCCATCTCCCTATTTCATCTTCAAATGCCTGAAATTAAATTGCCATTGGATCTTACTTATACGTTTTATTTTCATTGTTATATTTTAGCCACTCCAAAAATTGTTCTACCACTTTTATTACTTTTATTATTCAATGCATTCATTTTCTTGAATAAATTACACCATGTGGTGTGAAAACAAACTTTCAATAAACTTTGAACTATTTAACAGGAAACACTGTGCCAAAATCCCAGTGAAATCGTTATGTTGCATTACATGATGGGTACTGAGAACAAAGGTTAAATCAGGTACAATCTGGAAGCATAATATCCATGCTTCCTCATTTTATGATTATGATTTTTCAATAAAAGGCAAGTAACAAGTAGTTCGTTATTTTTAATGCGCAATTATTGTAGTTGTCAGGTGTTCGAATTTGTCAGCAATGTCATAGTAATGTGGTTGTTCATACACTTATTACTTGAATAAAATATAGCATGCAACAAAATCTAGTGAATGATTTTGGTGATTATAAGTACTATGGACAATGCATGTTTCTAAATGGTTTTGGGAAAAGGTAAGTATATTCCTGAACGTTCCTATTCACATGTACCCGAGTTAAGAGGATTGCTTTGAATTCACATCATACTAGTTTCCAAATTGCATTGCTAAACTTTTGAGACATATACTAAAAGTGATTCATTAAAATAGCACAAGAAAACACAAAATAAATTCTAAGAGTCACATATCAATGAGCAATTGCAAGAATGGCTACAATACCTGTATTGCTAGAAAGTCATACACCACAAAGCGTATATCAGAAACAGAGCTTGAAGGATTGGCATTGATGTATGCAATGACTTCTTCATACATAATTTTAGCAGTCGCATCTCCTGGAAATCCTAAACCACCAGTACCAATAGCGGGGAAAGCAATGGATTTATAGTCACTCTGTGCTGCTGTGTTTAAACAATTTTGCATAATTTTGCCCAAAACCTGAAATATAATGTAATAAATTGGAAATAACATACCCAATAGTAGATCTTTCGAACACAAGTTGAAAAGGGAGAATACTAAACAAATGAGTGACAACAACAACTGACAAATCAATCCACAAAATAAAATTAATACGTTGCATATTGAGAATCGATTATGGCGATAAAATATAATTTATTGGAATTTACAATGCTATAATAAAATTTCTGTTCTGAAGAGTCTCCTTAGATGTTTAACCTGGTAGTGACCGGCTCACAGACAAACCAACACAGGCGAACAAACACATTGACTACCTTAGCATACACACAAAGCTAGTTCAGAACTTAACATACACTTGTGACAAAATGGAACATGCAACTAACCTACCTGACTAGCTTTACTTGTATTATTATTATTCCATTTACAACATATTACATGGTAGATGTTATTACATTGTGTGTTTCCGCCACTGGTTATAATAATATCCCCTTCGTTTGTAGACACACCACTCGTTGTTTTATTATTAATTTCTTGCTGTAACTGTACTCCCGCTGCTTGTAAGATGGATTTAGAAACAGCACCAGTGTCGAGATCCAAAGTTGGTCGAGTTGTGTTCACAATTACATCAACCTGTAAATAAAACAAAGTTCTTGTTTTCAGGAATGGTAAAATAAGTTATTTCCGTCAGTGTAAGGGATTCAGCTTTACAGCGAGGCACGAGATTCATTTGTCATAATATATTAATGATCATGATATTTTAAATTACACTTTGAATTCCGAAGGAACTATTTTCACAGAAAGTGCAGAGGAGGATGTGGGCATTGTTTGAATCGCACGGTTTGGTGTAAATATGCTACATATATGGTTGTCAAATATATGAATCTTGGTTTACAAAGATGATTATAGAGCTTTATATGGCTCGATGTTTTATGACGAGATTGAATTATTTAAAATGAAGACAGATTATATCATTACACAGAGTTTGTGTATAACATTTCTGAAAGGAACTGTTTAATCTCCAAAGGACCTCAGTCATTCAACTTTCGAACCACTGCCACTATAAAATGTTACATGAAATATGAATAAAGTTATAATTCACATTCATTTCATATTTTCTAAGAAAACAACGCTACGGGATTATGGCTAATGCATGGGTAATTGCGTAGAATTCAGCATTTTAGTTTAAAGTTATCAATATAATTATGTGATACTCACCTTCTCTGCAGATATACTTCCCTTAACCAAACGAACTGTCTTCCCCCCTCTTACGCTAATTTCTCCTTTGTTTGATGTGACCTGGATACCGTGACTTGACAATCCCACGTGTGTGGTTCGAATATTTCGTGCTGTTTTAATATCTTCTGCTTGCTGCCCTATTCTATTTAATCTTCCACCATGTATTTTCCTTTTATGGCGATGACCTGTATACAAATATTTGGTTTGATAGTTACATAATCTTGAGCACATAGCACAGGTACTTCCGCAGTTGCTTATATACATATGATTGTTTTATTCTTAAATTATATTACATATATTTACCTAAAGGTGAAGGAGTACTAGTATCATCTGCTGTCAGGGTGAATTTATCCTCTCCAAAATGTTTTAACATAGCATTCTTAAAACTCTCACAAGTCTTGTCAGAGATATCCACCAAGCGTATCTCCACTAATATACCTGGTTGAGTGTTTTCAGCCCAGTCATCAACAGCACTGACAATGGTTTTTGTGCACATGTCAAGGGGAAATCCCAATGTCCCTGAACTGATTGCTGGTATGCCTATTGAGCTGTATCCCAACTCTTCGGCCAGAGCCAGACTGTTCTGCACTGCATCTGTAAGCAAATTTTCTTCTTGAGAATATAGATCCCATACTGGTGAGTTCCGACTTTGATGCGTTACTTTGTTTGATGATGGTCCAACAGCATGAATGATTCTTTTACATGGCATCTTACCACTAGTCGTATGCACTACTTGGCCTGAATGCACTACTCCATACTGTTCCCTTAAAATAGTTTCAGATTCTTGTTTTATTGCAGGTCCACCTAGTGATACATAAATGTGACTGTGATTATCAATTAGTCCAACAAATATGTATTTACAATTAGAATTATCATTCTGGAACAAATTCACATATTTACTTGTTAGTTATTTTCATTAATTAAGATATGTATCTATTTGACAGGGTTGTTCACCTAAAGCATATAGAGTGTCAGTATAAAAATAAAGGCAGTATAATATATGCAATTCACCAGTTTATCTCACCTGCTTCTGCAATTGCTTTAGATAATCCACCTGTATAACTCAGAGATGTGTTTGCAGGGTTGACAACTACATCAACATCCATTTTTGTTAAATCTCCTTTGCTTACTACAATGCTTCTACCGCCATGGATTGCATTCTGGCACACAAATTCTTCAATGTGGTTCCTTGCCTTTTCCCCAGCGCCTTTTATTTCAATTTCAGATGGGTCATTTATGTCTATTTTGCAGTTTATCTCGTTTTCCACTATCTTAATGATATACTTTCCCTTTTCTTCCTTGAAAAGTTTTGGCACGCCAGGTTTGTCCACTTGATGATGATATCCATGAATATCATCAATTAGTTTTTGAACCTTCGCTCTTGCTGTCTTAACATCATTTTTAGTACCTTTCAAAAGAAATCCAACCATTGGACCATTGTATTGTGGCATGATTTTGACCCTGGACGTAATCTGTATTTCGATAATGTCATCCTTTTTGTATTCAGAAATGTAGCGTAGTTTGCCATTTTCTGCTTCTACGATATCTTCAATGGTGGTGTGCGCTCGAATGAACGTGTTTAGCTCACACATGACCATATCCACATCAGTCTTAAAGCAAATAATCAACACACTATTGTGCTCTTTTGAAATAGTGACATTCTTTCTTTCTTCCAGATCTGATACCATGGTCTTCCATTCAATTTGCTGTAAAGCTGCCTCTGACTCCGGTTTTATGTCTATTCTGACTTCCTTTATGTCAGTTTTAATAATGTCAACAGCTTTGTTGAGAGTGGCTTTGTCAATGGCTGAGAATACAATCTCATCGTCTTGTAAAAGATAACATGCATCTATCTTTACAGAACTAAAGTAGTTGTGTACACGTTTAGAGACTTTACTATTTTTAAGATACTGCAACCATAATGTATTTGGTGGTTTCATCTTTATAGTTGATAAACCTCCCAATGTCTCGTACATTAATATTCTTGCTTTTGTTATATCATGAGGAAGCCCTGCCAAAGACAATGTATTTGTTTCAGGAACAATCGCGACATCTACTTCAGAGAATTTGTCGTGTACCAGATTTCTGTATTTGCACATCAATAGCTGTCTTGCTTGAAGGGCATTTACTTTGATTTTCTCGGTGATTCTCTCCCTTGCTTTCTGTATTTTATCTTCATTTTCGTTGACTACACTCTCTATTCTCGATTTAAGTTCAAAACGTTATTAGACTTTCCAGTTAGAAAAATTGTGCATGATGACTGGTTCATGGTCATAGACACATCTTTATCCAGGGACCATCCCTTCAAATGACCGACAATTTGGAGCCAAATGCCTTCCATTACAGAAATTGTGACAACTGTAAAACTCAGAAGATATTCATTCAGACCATTCTCGCATCATTCATCCATGATTTGGTTATTTTGTGGAGTTTATTTGTGTTTTCTGGGAGGTCTAGTGTCAACAACAAAACATCAGTTTTGTCTTGATATGGCCACTCTACTCGAGCATGCAACCCTTTCATGGTGTTTGTAAACTCTTCTTGGTAAGTATCCATAATAAATTTGATGAGATCAGGATTTACTTCGTATGGAAGTGGTTGTGGTATTCTTGGCAAAGGGCCATCACTGGAGACAGTAAATCCAAGATATTCGTAATAAGGTTGGACGTCAAGTTCAACTCCATTTATAACATGTTGTCTTGAAATTACCGATTTAACAACTGTAGAATATATACAATCATATATTATTTAGTGATAATTTAATGTGACAAACTATTGTAATTGAAATGTGACACATTTGAATCAACTCCAACTGTTCGTACAAAATACCAGTACAAAATAATGGCCATATGAAAAAAAGCTGTGTGTTGATTGAGTAAAGTATATTAATTATCATACCTTGATAGTCTTCGAAGTACACCACAGAAACATGTTTTTCATGATCTAGTGTAACTTCTTCTACATCACCACCACCACTTTTTTTCTGATTCTCAAAATACAATTCAATTTTGTCTTTAGTGATATTTTCTGGTAGATTTAGAATCAGAATACTGTCAGTTACAGTCACCGGTTTCACCACAAGTGTGGCACCATTCAGTGAACGTTCACTAACTTTCTGGACAATCTTTTGAAAATGTGAATCTGAAAATGACATTGTCTAAAAATTAATAAATAAGTGTGACATTCATTTCTTTTGGATCAATACCCATCCCACCCTGAAAACTATATAATTACATGATGCTGGCCTAAAACAGATATCATTTCATTTTAGTTCCATTTGCGTCATCTCCAGCCAGCTATTTTGTACCCAAGGTTCTATTTAAAAATTATGTCTACTCAACATATTCTTGCTATTATTAGTTGCTTTGGTGTATCCACATAAATGTGGGGAAACAAACAGGCTTCTCAACTCAACTTTTCCTGAATGATATTACTTGATAGTTAGTAGGTGTGCTCTGAATATTCCATTCTTGAAATACTGCCTGTATATCCTTCGGTTTAATCTGGATCCGTTCTTGCATATGCACAACATCAGCCATACACAGATCCTGCACTTCCCCCTCTTTTATATGGTGCTATGGTACCTAACTACCAGAACAAGGTCTTTTAAATTTTACTGTTGTACTCATTTTGATGTTATAAGAAAATAGGAAGCCCAATATTAAAGAAAGTTTGTTCATGTCCAAAAACCGGTGACATATGTTTGATCATTCGCATTGAAGAGTTTAGTAAGGTTTTACCATAGCAATCTATATTTATTGGAAGAATCAAGTTTATGGTTACTGGTTATAGCTTCACGTGAAACATGTGGGTAATGCAATTTTTTGCAAATATTCATTGTAATGGTGTTGTTGTTACACGAGCCAGTGAAGAAAGATTGGTGAATGTTGCATATATTGGAGTTCACAATTTTTTGCATGCCGAGAAATTGTAAATTGAAATGTGATTAAATTGTTGGTGTTGATGACCACATTGGTGAGATGAGAGCATTACTTACGACAATACAACCTGACACTTATCATGTTATTAGCGCTTTGAGTAACTCGATGGATACATAGTCCTGGTAGAGCCTAGTGACAAGTAATGTGATGTGGTGATGAATAAAACGACTCGTGTGTTGAGATATTTCAGGAGAAATTTGCAAGATAATTAGATAGATCAGTACTACGTGCGGATAAAACTTTCAAGATAAACGTTTAAGGGAAAGCAAATGATATGAACAGAATCAAGTGACTTATGCTCACCTCTGTGGACAGTTGGCTGAGAGAACATTTTGAGTGCAACACAAATGTTTTCTCTAAACATGATATGATCTAGGTTAATGCAACCTAGGGGGCACAAGACTGATAAATTATTACAGACATGTACCAGCTACATGATATGAAGATCTTAAGCAGGTGTTGCAAGGGATGATCAATAAAGTAGTTATATATGCGAGTCATACAATGATGAGAATCGATAGAAGCAATAATAATAAGTTATCCCAATGCAATACATGACACTGTATATACAATTACATATACACTGGATAATGCCAGTATTGATATGCTTTATCATTCATTCCAAAATTTCAATCTGCGAGCATTGTGTTCATGATGTTAAACTACATTAATATTCACAAAACTGCCCATGAATCGTTTTTTTTTTTGCATTTAATACTGAAGACTGAAAAACAATTACATGCGTATCTAACATTAATAATGGAAAAATAGGGATAGTGAATATGTGTCTTTTCAAAACAATGTCTTTGTCATTAGCATTCATACCTTGTATGTCTTGGTTATATATTGCTAGCATTGTACCTGGTTCTTCGCCGAATAATAATT